CTCTCGTAAAATCCTTAATGTATTGTCTGTGATGGCTTTGCTGGTGCTCTGCTCTTCAGGAAAGCTTATTTGTTTTGACAGCACTGGATCTGGCCTAGCTCCATGTGTTTTTTCATGTGCCTGAGCTAATAAGCCCTATTGGAACCTGTGCTTCTGGGCAGTGCTGTTCACTGACAGGCATTTTTGTTCTGACTGAGCTTATTAATTCTAGTTTGTTGCTGGCCGTGCTGACTTGAACTGGTTCTTGGAGATCTGTTTGGTCTTTCTGCCAGCAAGTTCTCCTTGTAAGAGAACTTATTTTACAACAGGTATGATATTTGCACAATGCTGCATCCAACGTAATGAGCTTTGTGGAACTGAACACGAGATGCAAACACAGAAGTGGTTATTACTTTGTGTGGAATCTGGGGTCCAGCCTGTGTAGCATGACTGATTCCAGATGGACCTTTGCTGGCCCTCTGTAACACCTCTGAGTTGGTTCTCCAGTGTCTCTTTATCTATGCCATTCTGGATCAAAGCTAGCTAGTAAGCAATGTAGCAGTAGTTACAGGATGTTGTGCCTAAGCTCTTAAACCATATGTGAATCCAAGCTATCTCTGCATCCATGGCATGGATAATAAGCAAGCCGAGTAATCAGACTGCTGATAACTGAGATCAAACATAGCCTGTATAAATCCTTATTTTAATTTGAAATTGGATTGGAATTCTTCTTTTCTAAATTGCTGTAGCATAGTATTGTAGCATTTGTGTACTGTCTAGTAGCTCATTAAGTAGTTTGATTAATACTTTATCTAGAATGTGATACGTTTCCTACTCTTCTGTGGAAAAAATTAATTGCACATGCTGCATTCTGAACGCTTATTAATGAGACCCGTGAGTATTCCCAAACCACTGGCTGAACAAACACTTCAATTGTGAGGAAACTGCACAGCACCAGAGATCTAGTCACATGTTGTCTGCTGTCCACCAGCTATCATGTTTTGTACCTTGTGTCCATCTTTTCTAGCTACTGTTTCATAAGTGAGCTGATCTTTTCTTTGCAGCAGGCCATGTGCATGATAGGATTGTAGTTGTATGCAGCTGAAGACAGGAGGAGCTTTGTATGTTGCTATATGATCCGCTCTCATGCTGGGGATCTCAGACAGATTCTGAAAAAGAAATGACAAATGAATAACTCCACAAATGAGAAGCCTACTCATGAGGTTTCACATTCGTAACATGGAGTATGTCTTTTCAAGACGTATGTGAATTACCTTAGTGAATTGCTTTAAACTACTTGCTGGAGAATTTCAAACTCGTCTTTAGCAGGGCAGCAGTATCTTCATTTCTGCAATACTTAAAAACTGCCAAAAATTACAAGATGCTGAGAATAGAGATTGAGTGCTAGTAAAATTATTTTGGTTTTCATATCTTGATTTGAATTCAGTTTGTGCAAGGCTTTTATCAGTATGTGTATCCGCCGATTACTTTGGTGCAGATCGTCAGTCTGCAGGTTAGTTGATATACACAGTAAAGATGATGACCTATCCATGTGAGCTCTTGGATTTTAGCTCTGGCTTCCTTCCAGCTTGCATAAGCAACAGGTCTCAGATTCAATTTTTCAGATATTTGATTCATATACCAGTAAGATTATTTTGGGCAATTGTTCTGTGTTTTTTTTAAAAAAAAAAAAAAAGCAGTTGTAAAAGAAAAAAAATCTGGTTTTTTTTGTAAAGAGGGAGGGATGAGGGGTTTATTATTTTTGTTTTTATTTTTTTGTGTGTGTTTTTCAGTATTGATATACTTCATTGTGATGCTAGTTTCCAAAAATGGGTGGATTCATTTGCCAACCAGGACTTTTTTTAATCTGTATCTCTTGATTTAAAACAAGTTTCTTTTTCCTCTGTATATTTCCAACATTTACAAAACAATTTCTTGAAGCTCTTGAATGAATCATAGCCTTTTTCATTATTTTCTTTACCTGCAATTCACATCTGACATACTTAGGCCATTTTGTTGCTACTGTTCTCCCTAGTACAAGAGAATTCCTCAGTCCCAAAAGCTGCTTATTCCTTTTCCAAGAGGCAGTATGCAGAGACAACTTAAAAACAAGTTATTTAATAATGATAATTTTTCAGACATGGCGTCTGTAGGTATTTGTATTTCCTGCCCGTCCTTTCCTTCTGTCAGACTGTTAGGTTATATATCCATTTGAATTTGTTCGCATATTTAAGTTGCTTGGATGGATATTTGTCTCCCCCGTCTCCCCCCACTTCCCCAGCTTAATTGAGAAAGCTTTGGTGTAAATAGGTACCTTTTATAGTGGCAAACAGGTGAGCTTGCCAGTGGAACTAACTTTGCTCAAAGAGTTACTATCAATCATGCTGGCAAAATAATGTGTTTCTGATATAAACTATGTTTGCATTAGGAAGGCTTTTCAGTATTTTTAAACCGGAGAAACTTTGAAGTCAGTGTTTTGGAGGATCGCATCAGTCACTTCCTCTTGAAGTCTTCATGGACAAGGAAGGCTTTTGGGAGAGTGAAGTCCTTAAGTAGAAAGGACTGAATGGTCTTAAAATGACCAGTAACTTGCTGGAAAAATTACACAGTTTAGTGACAGAGGTGCCATGTTCCCAAGTATGAATGTGTAGAGGTGATGTGTTTGAAGAATGAGCAATGGTAAATAATAGCAGCTGATTTAATCTTTCCTGTAGAATTAATGGCACTGAAAAGAATGGTTATACCATGGTTATATATCCACAGTTGTGTTTTTTTCTGGGCTTTTTTGCTGGCTTTTTTTGCGGGGGGGCGGGGAGAGCATTCGTTTTAATGACTGAGAGGAAGCCAGGTTCAATGAAATGCACATACGGTATCAAATTGCTTCTAGCGATAATTTTGCTGTTGAATCTCATTTTTGAAATGTGGATAGCTGAAAGTGTTTGTAGGATATTTTTCCATTTAAATAGTCGATTAAGGGGATAGCAGAGTTCATGTCAGTCATTCTGGCCTATGTGTGACCAGTGCTGTTTTGTCTGTTTAACTAAAGTGTCTTGGGGCAAATTTAAACTGTACATACAAAATATTAAACATATTTTTTTACTAGATCTACCTGTAGAGTGTTTGGACTTACTCAGATTGGTAATAAATAAATAGAAAACCTGTCTCTGATACTGTTTCAGAGGATTAAAGGGAACATAAACTGTTATGGTGTCCTAAATTTTTTTTACAGGGAATGATTTCTTAATTGCTTTTTCCAACCTACCAGATTTTAAATAAGCTAAGAAGGTAGTTTTTAAAAGTCAAATGTGAGGCAGATGTCTAAAAAATCTGCATGTTGGTTACTCATTATTATTCTTGATTTGCTCTTTAGACTAAATTTTTGCCACAGTGAAATTCCCTTAGTCTTTAGCTGTTTTGAAGGCTGTTACTCTAATGAGTTTCTGAAGTGTGTCTCTATACTGACCGTGCTAAAGGGAAAAAAAGAAGCTGACTACTGTACTGAGGGGAAAAAATTTAAGTGGTTGTCAGTATGGCTTTGTATTACCCCTTCTTTGAATTCTTAGAGAAGCAGTGGGATGGCTGAACTCGAGGCTCCCTTATGTAGCCTGGGCATCAGACATTGAGGGATATCTGCTGCTTTCTGAAGCTTGGACTGGAAGCTTCAGTGTGTGTGTTTATCTGTCCTGGCAGTTTGCAGTCATTATTAAATTAATTAATCTGGTTTTTTCCTTTTAAATTTTTTCCCTGTAGATTTGTTTATTTCGTACTACTTCCGCTTTTATCTGAGAAAATGAATTAAGTATCTTTTCTTCCCCCTTTGCATACAGCTTGTAACAGAACATGCCTTTGAAATTCCAGACAACATCAGGCCTGGGCATCTCATAAAAGAGCTCTCAAAAGTGATTCGTTCTGTAGAGGTAAGAACAGAGGCAATGCTACATAAGCCTGCAGAAAAAAAATCTTTGAATCAAGGAATTCCATAGTAGTTGCGCTTTTGTTTGACTGTATGCACCTTTTAATTTATTTAATATTCATTTAATAATAGAAGATCAAGAGGAAAACTGTTGGCAATACTAAGCTATGGGTATTTCAGATAAAGAAAACTCACAGCAAGGGTGTTTTATATATTTAAAAAAAAAAAAAAAGATTTTTTAATGGTAAAAGTATTTGTAGGTTAGTATTTCTAAAATGTTCTCACTTATAACTACTTAAAATAATAACTGTGAATATGTCGTTAAAGAGTTTGATTTGAAATTTTGTGCATATTCCATTCTCCTACCCTCTTGTTTGTTAGTTCTGGTCCAGTTGTCATCTCTTTTGCTCTTTTTCTTATGTTTTGTCCCTATTTGTTATATAGTCAGTGTTTTTTTCCTTTGTTTTTTCCCCTCCTATACCAGTGTTTTGCTCCTTTATTCCCTAATGAATATCAGTTCTTGAAAAATTCTCACATTTGCACGTGGAGAGAACAGTTCTGAGAACTGAAGAGAAGTGTGATCTGTTAGGTACAATACATGTCTACCCTGTGCTGCCTTCATGCATAAAACCTTATGTTTTGGTGATAGCTTTCGGTGTTAAGCACTACTATTATGGGAGAGTTTAAAGCCCCAAATAGGAAAGAGGTGCAGTAGAAACTAAGCTTTGTACATCAAATCCATAGGAAATATGTAGTATTGCTCTAAAAGGTCTAACAATTTTATTTATATAATTTACATTTAATTAGGTGAATAAGAATCAGCACTTAAATAAGTGGCTTTATTCCTCTGAGACTATTCTGAAATATGTATTTTTAATTAAAGGAGGAAAACAGCAAACTAGTTAAAACTCAGGGAATTCTTGGTGTGTGTCCAACTTCACGGTCTTCGCATGAAACAACTTCCCCTCACCACTCCAGACGAAGGGTGAGGAAACTGCGAGACCATGCTACCAAAACTCCTTCTAATCTGGACATCCTGGAACTCCACACCAGGGAGGTGCTGAAAAGGCTGGAGATGTCACCATGGGAGGAGGCAAGTATTAAGTTATGTGCAAGAAGAACAAAACCAGAGTAGATCTTCAATCTCTGTTGAAAGGGAAAAGCTTTCAACATGCATAAGAACGCAGGCTGCTACTCTTTGTCATATGAGACGTGGATAGATTTGTTTTCAGTTTCTTTCTTTTGAGTTTTCCTGATAGGAATTTCCCTCTTTCTTGATAATTTTTTTGTGGAGGTTCCTTCAACCTTTTGGTTCAGAAGGTGCCCTGAATCCACTACCTACTTCAACTATAGTTTTTGAATTAGGACAGCTGTAGCTATCAAGTGCTACTTTGAATAATTTCTGTGAAGAAAAGGGAGCTTGCAAAGCCTTGATTTGGTGAGGCTCTGAGCCAGACTGCTTCTCTATGTGTTTTTAGGTAGCTGTTTCTTATAGTTCAGTTATAATTTGATTAGCCTTGTTTTTCGGTCATGTTCTTATTTCCTCTATGACTGTGCCTCCCCACCAGTAGGCCTAAGACTGCCTTTGGTCTCTATTGTGGGGCTGTGGACCTTGTGGTCATATTACAAAAGTATCATGGAATGGATGAGCGAAATGTAGTCTCTTGAAAAATTCGGTTTTTTCAAGTTTGAGGACCTTATTTCAAAAAACAGCAACAGGAATGGGAGGAGGAGTGAGAGAATGGAAATAAGTAGCTTTATGAAAGGAAATAAGTAGCTTTCTGAGAATAAGAAATGCTGACAAATTTAGTTGGGACAGGATGGACTGTGATAGTGGAGAAATACTGATTTGGGTCCTTATATTGATCTTCATAAGGCATGAACAAGAGACAGTCATTTAGCCCTCAAAGACAGAAAGCTGAACTTAAAATTTACCACGAATAGTTAACCTGTGCAGTTCAGTGCTACAAACAGATGTTTAGGAGTATTAGTCATTGCCATTTAATGTAGAAATGTATTGTTCACTATCAGTATTGACTTGTTTTAAAAAAAAAAAAAAAATTTTACATGTTACTGGTTTGGCATGTAAGTGTATCGCCAATTGCTTCAGAGTGTGTCAAATGTAAATTGCTTTTTGCTAAGAAAGTTCTGCTTATGGCAGGTTACTTTCCATTATTGATATTTCACTGTCCTATAAATGAGTTCTGGGATACTAATTCCAGGGACCAGATACCCAGTCCAAGAATTGCCTTATCAGTTCAAAGCCCAGCTTTTGGCTTGCCTGTCTCCACTGGTATTCCTTTGTTTTGAATACAGTGATAATTCTCCGAAGGAAACACAAAAGGAGTGTTGTAGTGAAGTTGTAGTTGTTTCAGATGCTTCAGGAGAGTATAGATGATTCAAGGAAGGAGAAGATGCAGTCTGCTGTTTTTTACATCCGAACATGTTTTGTCTGAGCTTTCTTCAGTTGGTTATCAGTAAGGTAACCATCCTGGTGCTGAGTTTAAGCTTTTGTGGAGTGCAGAAAAAACAATTGAATTTACAGAGATAAATAATAAGCAACATTGCTTTTACTTCTTTAGGATACTGCAAGCTCGAAACTGAATGGGAGATTTAACAAGCCCTTTCAGCCATCTTCTACCGTACCTGAATGGCGAACAAAAGACAATGATCTTCGCCTTCTGCTGTCAAATGGAAGAATAATTAGGTACAAAGGGTTGATTGTGGATCATTTGTTCCTAGTCATTATGGTCCGGAGCATGCTAATTATTAATAGCATTTCTTTTCTGTTTGTGGAGCTCTAGGTTCCCTTTTACCAGTAAGATCCATGTTAGGAATATAGAAAGAATGTGTTGTCTGTTGTGTCTGCTGTCCCCTAGTGGAGCCACGGTTATGGAGTGAAGAGGAGGAGATTCTTTGCGTTCCTTTGTTACAGCATTTCGTTCAGTTGCTCAGTTGGGTTTGTACTGAAGGGAATGCTTCAAAGTAGAAACGGTTGTTTTGTATCCATCTATTAGTGATTCGCATTAAAAATATTCTGGTATAAAACTTTTCATCTTTATGGAAATGACAGTTGTACAGGGAGTAAAATGGGAATATGTACAATTGGGAATGAAGAGATGAGCATAAGAACATTACTGTTGTATCTCGAGAGCGTGTTGTAAATAATGCAAGGAAAACAATTGCTTCGGGTTTGTAAGAATAACATGATTTTTTTTTTCTTGTGAGACAGAGATGAGAGACGCCCATTTACAGATCGAAGTCTTTACACAGCAGATAGTGAAGATGAAGATGACAGGACAAGGTCGAAAAAGACAACTGTTAAGGTAGAAGACCAGCCCTCAGGATCTGAAGGAGAAGGGAATGCAGATGCCCAGAAACCACTGAACAGTAAGCTTGTCTCTAAGTCCTATCAGTTGAACATTTTGATGATCTTGAAGAGGGTCTAACTATTGTGAAGTCTGACTGAAATTTTACCAAAGTATAAAGAGGATAAACTAATAGATCAGAGAAGTAATACTAGAAGTTACAACAAAACATTTGTCAAATATTGTCTGTCTACTGAAGAAGCTAACAGGATAGAGTTGAAAAGTAAAACTCACCTTTTCATGTTAGTGCCACTTTGAATACTATGTACAGCATTTTTCAGAGTGGAGGTTTAATTGGTGTTCCAGATGAGTATTTGTTCCTTTTTGTCTGTATCATAATGTAAGAATGCTGATTTTTCTTGACCAAAATATATTTCAGTGTGAAAAGTTCATCACATCATTCGCTGTAGAGAGTAAAAGATCATAACATGCAGCTAATTTTAAATCTATCTTATATTTCACTTTTCCATTCCATTTGGTGATTACATACTTGATCATGCAATTTTGTATGTTTTGCTAATGAATAGGTTTATTCCATACAAGTGATCAAACATAATTTAGCATTAATAAAATCTTATACTTTCAACCTTTGCAGTAGTCTGCAAGGCTGGGGAAGAATTTAGATTATCTGTAAAACACTTTAACCCCACTTTCCAATACTTTAAACTATCTTTCACTAGGGGTTAATCTTTTTTGGTCTTTCTGTAGCCTCAAGCCTTCCTGCCAAGTGTTCAGCAGTGCTGATCACACAGTGTATTAGTAAAGTATCAATATTGAACGCCTATTTTCAGTGCCTATTTTTAATAGCACTGTCTGTGTGCAGTGACAAATTGGTCCTTGACATAGCTGTTCAGCTCTCTGTTTAATTATAAAAGTCATATTCTTTCACAGTAGAGCTTACAAGGGCTCAGAGGGTATGTATTAGGAAACTGAGGTCAACACTTAAAAGATAACAAGATTCCTCTAGAGACTTACAGTTCCCTTAATTTCCTGCACAACAATCTGTAACAACATTTGAGTCCATTGACAGCCTAGATAAAATACTTAATTATTTTCATTAACAAAGCAATTTGTAATCCCTGTTGGCTGTGCTTCCAAAGGTCACAGAGAACAGTATTAAAAAAATTTGCACAGGAAGGAGGTCCCTCTTGGGTACTCATGAACCAACAGGGCAAACGGCTTGTTGAGTGAAGGCTTTTGTGGTGTTTTTCCACTTTCAAAATTAAACTAAGTAAATTAAACTAAGTTTTACACTTGAATCAAAGATTAAATCATACAGAGAAACGGTAAATTTTCTTCAAAATTGTTGCTCTTGTTTGATACAGAATGAATATGGCAGTGTGTATCTAAATGTAAGAAATGTACTTAAATCTAGAAGTGAATGTTGAGATTGTTCTTCCAGAAATCGAGTACTTGGGACTATCGCTAATATTTTTAATTGAATAGTGAGAGTCTTCAAACTTCCCTGTTAAAGGTCACCTACATTTGATTATTTTGCATTAACTGAAGGTCTACAGAGAGAGAGAGAGAAAGAGAGAGAGAGAGAGAGAGAGAAGATACTCTTCTGCAGAGAATTCCATAAAAGGAACTACCTGTTTCTATAACAGCTGCCACCTTCCATTGTTCTTACTGGGATTTAGGCCAAGGGGCAATGTCCACAGAGAGATGCCTTTAAACAGATCAAGCTCTGTATAGCTTTGTGTGTCATGCCAAGATCCTGGTTCTAAATGGTGACCCAGTGTTGTCAGAGAGACAAAGATCAAGTGCTGTGCTTAACAGAGCAAGATACTTTGTGTGGATGAGGGGAAGTTGACTTAAGATATGTTTTTTGAATTCACAGTAGCTTAGCCTGATCTTACAGATAACAACTGCTTTCGTTCACCCGATTTCTGGAGTATTCCTCCCAGTCTCTGGAAACTTGCAGAGCCATAACTTTATCTGAGGGTAGACCGGTTCATTTTAAAGTAACAACAGTAATTACCAAGGTAATTCACAAAAACAACAAACAAACAAAAAAAAAAAAAGCAAAACCAAACTTGTAAGTTTAGACTGAATTTTTTTAAAGCTCAGTTACAAAGCACATTCATAGGTGAAGAGATGAGGGATCCTAATAATACATTATGTGTTGTTGTGAAGATCAGTAAATGTATCTGAAACCTGTATGTGAAAGAGAAGGGTGAGAATCTTTTGCAGGGGAATCTTTTGCAGGGGAATCTAGAAAGCAGCGGAGGGTAGCAATTTTTTTTTTTTCCCCCTTTTTTTAAGAGGAGTGTAAAGGAATGCAGCTTCCCTGGCTTTTTGAACAATATAGGGTAGAAGGAAAACTGGGGGGGTATATTCAGAGAAATTGCCCAAGCAGCCAGGGATCAGGTTAGGAAAGCTAAAGCCCTGATAGAATTAAATATGGCCAGGGATATCAAGAGCAACAAGAAAAGCTTCTATAGGTACGTTGAGGATAAAAGGAAGACTAGGGAAAATGTGGGCCCTCTCAGGAACGAAACGGGGGACCTGGTCACCCGGGATATGGAGAAGGCTGAGGTACT